GGGCTTACGGAACTGTCAGCTGCGGACACCCTATAACCTAAGATAGCCGAAGAGCAGGGTATTCTTATTCGAGTGCCTACAATTTTGTCGAATACAAAAAATGTCGATCGCAAATTTGCCGATAAAATTTGTCGAAAAAAAATTTGTCGATTCGACAAAATTGGAATCCAAATTTGTCGAATTCGACAAATTTTATTAAAAAATGTCGATTATTGTATTATAACATTCCTTTCTATGAATTTCAAATTCAATTATGACCACCTAAAATCTAACTTGGAATCAAGTTGAAATCAACTTGGAATCAAGTTTAAATTATATTGGAGTTAGGTTTATCGAAGAGTGTGGATGCGATTTGATTTTTATTCTAAACTCACACCCACTCCCATACCCACACCTACACCAAGGGGGTTAGTGCAGACGCCTAGCATCCAGCACCTGCTCAGCACCTACCAGTACCTACCAGTACCTACCGGCACCTACAGCACCTATTAGCACCTGCCAGCCCCTACAGCACCTGTTCGGCACCTATACCGCATTTCACTATGAGCACCTACGGCACCTTCAGCACCTGCAATCATTGTTTCATTATCTTAAGTACTTAAGACAATAGAATAGTTGTTGAAGATGCTGAAAGTGCCGTAGGTGCTCACAGTGGAATGCGGTATACGTGCTGTAGGTGCTGAGCAGGTGCTGGGTGCTGGGTGCCTGCACTTCCCCCTTGCTTACACCCACACCTACACCCACACCCACACCTACCCCACATCCATACCCACCCTCCAAGTGAATTCCAAGTTGATTCCAAGTTGATTCCAAGTTGATTCCAACTTGATTTCAACTTGATTCCAACTTGATTCCAACTTGATTCCAACTTGATTTCAACTTGATTCCAACTTGATTCCAACTTGATTCCAAGTTGATTTCAACTTGATTTCAAGTTAGATTTTAGGTGGTCATAATTGAATTTGAAATTCATAGAAAGGAACGTTATAATACAATAATCGACATTTTTTAATAAAATTTGTCGAATTCGACAAATTTGGATTTCAATTTTGTCGAATCGACAAATTTTTTTTCGACAAATTTTATCGACAAATTTGCGATCGACATTTTTTGTATTCGACAAATTTGATGTTTCCCTTCTTATTCTTCTGAATTTTGAAGATGAACAGAATAGCTGATTTCTTACGCGCTTGATTTAATGTAAAATTACACACAATTCTTTTCAACGATTATGTTGCTAAACAGTTGCATACTTTCTCAATGTATCAAAATTTCTTGTTCTCAAGCACGATTTTCGCAGTACTCGTACGCGTACTCAAGGGGTCGGTACTCGTACTCGTACTCGTACTTGTGGGGTCGGTACTCGTACTCGTACTCGTACTCGAGGGGTTGGTACTCGTACTCGTACTCGAAAAAGTCCGTACTTGCCCAGCTCTAATCTGATTGATGAATAAAAGCAACTATCTAGACAAATCAAAGTCGAGTATTCTATAAGATTAACATTCCATATATATTGAAAGTGTCTATATAGAATATATCGATATGATCTTGTAACTGAAAGTTACAACGATTAATCGATTAAATATAGTCAATCATTATTGTTTAGTTATTTATTTTTTTCGTCAATGAGATATATGTAACCCCCACAAAATAGACGCCCACCCTATATTAGAAGACCATCCCCTGTATAAGGCCATGTCTGAACAAAAGTTCATCGGCCCTATTAGAAGGTCATGCACTAATTAATTAATCAATTAAAAAAATACTGAATTTTTCGAAAATATTAATTAATAATTAGTCAAATAGTGCCGTTTATCTACTGTTTTCTTGAGAAATCGCTTCGAATTTTACTATACGTGACATATTTATTTACAAAAACCGCAGTTTTTCCCTGAAAAATGCCCAAAAAACATTAATTAAAGCTATTAATTAATTATAATTAATTACTAATTTTTTTAAATATTTTAATTAACAACTGATCAAAAAGTTCACCTCAATAGAAGGCCACCCAAAAAAATAACGATGTGCGGAGACGCTGTATAAGGGCATGCCCTTTTATTCTTGGGGGGGGGGGGGGGGGGG